CCCCCCCCCCCCCCCGCCCCACCAAGATTTCCGCCACTGGTTAAACATTCTGAGGGAGTGCGTTCCCTCCTGCACCGCTGAAACCACAATAATATATTTAGCAATTAATCGCCGAAGGCGAGGTGATAACAAGCCTATATTCATTGAGCCAAAGGCGAAGTGAATACAGGCTTCAAATCACCGAGCCTGAGGCGACTAATAGACAATTCCCATTATAGACTAATTTTAAAACTAGGCAAGGAGATGCAAATAAATAACCACAGTTAAAAAGAGCATATTAAAATGAGTAAATTTGCAAAGTTTCGTTGCGAAATGTTGTAAAATGTGGAAAATATAGCCTTGCAAATTTTGTATACTTTTGTATTGCATGCGGAAATTCCTACCATTTTCGGCCCAAATGTGGTAGGAATTTTCGCACGCAATACAAAAGTATACAAAATTTGCAAACTTACAGGCTATATTTTCGCATTTTACAACATTACGCAACCAAACTTTGTAATTTTACTAATTTTAGTATGCTCTTTCTAGCTGTGGTGATTTATTTGCATGTCCTTGCCTAGTTTTAAAATTAGTCTATAATGGGAATTGTCTATTGTTTTAGTGTAATTTCAATACTGAAAAAGTTTTATTTATAAATACAACTAATACACGTGTTTATTTTATGAATTACAATTTGCATAAATAATTTACTTCCGTCTGATTTTCAGCCATTTTTTGGGAAAGCAACAGTTACTGCTCAGAGCAGTCTGAGGAGTAACTATTACCTCAGAGTTACTGCTGAGGAAGCCAATCAGAATGCTCAAAGGCCATTTTTCAATACTGAGATTATACTAATGCGCAATACTTCCTTCACTGTTCACTGTACAGTCTGTACTGTACGTTTGAGAGACTTTGTATTGTTGTAGGACATCGCAACGTCAATTAGAGAAGCTGCCCAGCAAGCTACTACTAGTCATGGATTTGTATTTGATGAGACAACAGGATTGTATTATGATTATAATACTGGATACTACTACGACCCTGTAAGTATTTACATCAGGTTAACATTGAATGTGATAAAAGTCACGTGTGACGAATGACACTACAGTAGTATTACATATTCTATTTCGGCAAGATTTCCCGCTGTCATCGGAAGGAATGGAAACGCTAGCTGTTGGTGATGCATCAGCATGAGTAATTAGGTACAGTAGCTTAGCGACGTTTTTGTTAACACGAACGTCAGATTACCGAGGCCCCCCTCGGCAATAAAAGAAAAGTCTTTTTAAAAATAGAAGTCTTTTTAAAAAATACCTCTACACTCTGTTAAACTTTGTCGCTGTTAAACAAGACTTTGTCGCTTTCTACTGTGTGTTAATTATAAACTGTGTTTGTGTCAGTTTGTGGCAATCTTCAACACATGTGACAAAATGTAAGATTTTTGTAGTTTGCTTCCTTACATGAGCGCTATGATGTAAAATACCGCTAATATTAATTACACTAATTTTGAGGTGACGTCCGTGTTGACAAAAACGTTCCTTGCTTAAGCTCACTATTATCACCATCTACGTAGGGATTACCGTAATTCCTACTCAACCAATGGTATACTACTCGTCCATCCCTAGTAAGCGACTAGTCATTAACCCTTACTCTAATCCTAACTCTAATCTTGATCCAAACCCTAATCCTAACCCTTCCTGATCCAAATCCTATTCTTAATCCAAACCCTAGTCCTAACCCTAAAAGTCTAAAACTAGTTATTGTCCCGAAATCGCGACTCATATGTTATGTTTTGTATTTAAGATTAGGTTAATTAAACCACGTACGAAGCTAAATTTCAATAGCAGTCTTTTTTAAAAAATACCTCTACACTCTGTTAAACTTTGTCGCTGTTAAACAAGACTTTGTCGCTTTCTATGTGTAAAACAATTCGCTTGTCTGTAACCGGAATAATTCGGGAACATTTTGTTTTCGTGAATAGTGCAAGGATATCCAAAGCTTTGTTTGTTTTCCCTAGAAAACTCGATTATACTACGATTACCGCACGGGCATTTACTATACTTACAATCAAGAAAGGGGTTCATATGACTTTTACTCCCAAGTGGCTGTCAGTACTACACCAAACACGGATACTACCGGTCAAACCTCGTCTGGGGGTGGCTCAGAGAAAAGAAGTGAAGAGACTAAGACAAAAGAGCTCCCAGAGAAAAGTAAGGTTAAGGTGACGCATATTGAGTTGGTGGAGTCTGGGAGCGAGGATGGAGAAATTGTTGAAGTAGACGAGGTTGATAGTGAAACGCAAGGTAAACATTTCATTTTAAAGGACGTATAGACTGGATAGCGCAATCCATTTTTCACTGAAAATAGAGGCAGTAAATCTCGCAAAAAACATAGAAATATACCAATAATATTGTATGTACTATTTACAACACGAGCGGCCGTGTTGTAAAACATCTTGATGAGAACATTCGTATTCTTAAACAATGTAAAATAAATGAATGATATTTGGTGAGAAAATTGAATTTAAAGTTTAATATGTAAATCAGCTGATTTTGTATCAGATATACATGTCAAGCTTCTTCACGCTCATGATTTCTTTGTATTTTCTTCGTGAATTATTAACGAGTTTCACAAATGATAATTATAAATAAGGGACCCAAATGTTCCTGTAGACGGTATAGGCGAGTTTCACTCAAGCCATACTTAGGGAAACGCTTGGTGGTCAACTTTACACGGAAGGAAGTAAATTTCGTTAAATTGCATAGATACCAAACACAAGATCAATACTTATAATAAATATTTAACTCGATCCGATAAATGTGTTTCCATTTGGAGTTGACCACCAAGCGCGTATCACGTGACTCAAACCCACCTATAGATGGAGAAAAGTCACTCTAGACGGCGAAAATTGCCGGGTGCCGGAACCATGGGAAATCACGAAGGACCTTTGCTGAAAACATCCTGAAAATACACCTGGTCAGCCATGGAGTTAGTACGAAAGATATTACATTGAGAATAATACATGGGTGCGCAGAAATACCAGATTTATTTCGAGTGTTGAACATGATATCTCACGAGTGAGCGCAGTGAACCACGGGCTTTAGGACCAATGCAATTTGACAACAATAGTATTCTATCTAGATAGCAGTTAAAATAAAGTGCACGGCACCTGAACTGTTCAATATCTTGCTTGACACAGCTCCATAAATACATTTACATGTTATGCAAATACAGAAATACTGTATATTTTCAAAATACGCCATATTTATTTATATTAGAACCCAAGCTTTCGCGGCTCACGAAATATTAACGTCGGTGATTTTCACTAATAATAAGAGGGTAGGATCATCCAATTATTTAATCGTTCGAAGCGCGAGGAAACCATGCTTCCATAGCATATGGCATAAACGTGTCCCCAACTTCCTTATATGGCACAAACGTATCCCCCAAATATTTTATCGAAGCCGTTATGATGTCATAAGATTCCTCCCGCTCGGAACGGTTTCAACAGGTCACGTGGTACAGAACCCAGACAGCTGATTGGGTTAGCGAGTGACAACGCCCACTTTAATCCTGCCCTCTTATTATTAGTGAAAAGATCACCGACGTTAATATTTCGTGAGCCGCGAAAGCTTGGGTTCTAATGTAAATAAATATGGCGGATTTTGAAAATATACAGTATTTCTGTATTTGCATAACATGTAAATGTATTTATGGAGCTGTGTCAAGCAAGATATTGAACAGTTCAGGTGCCGTACACTTTATTTTAACTGATATTTAGATAGAATACTATTGTTGTCAAATTGCATTGGTCCTAAAGCCCGTGAGTGAACGAGTGAGATATCATGTTCAACAGAATTACATTATTATTCAGCTCACTCCCCATTGGGGCTTTTCAGTGACCGATTACATCAAGTATTACGCATACTTATGTAACTTATTTAGCCTTGATTATTTATCTTTACAACAATTGTGATAATTGTGATTACTTTCTTAACTGTGTTTATCGTAACCCACCCTGCCAACTTTCCCTGTGGGAGGAAACGGAGCGCCCGGATGATTAAATTCACGACTTTCGGCAGAGCGTTGAAAGGCTGTTAGCCAATCAGACTGGATGAATTCATTGAAATATTTTAACATTACAGGTGATGATGATGAACTTAAAGAAAAGGAATATCCACCTTGTATTCGTGCAACTGTTATGCAGTCCGACAAACTGCCTGTTGGTAGTTTAACTATTATAACATGTATGGGACTAACATTTGGCCGGTATGTGCAAGCTTATAATTTAGTTTAATTAAAGTGCCGCTAACTCTAAGTACGAGTTTTGTTATCCAAGCTTAGCCCTGACGGAAACGAACGCGCTTGACAAATAGCGCTCTTCATTGACCCAAGGAGCTTTTCGAGCACTTACACAGGTACATCTTGTCAACAAGATGTGTTCGCAACACGCTTGGAGCAAGCTTTTCAACAAGTTGTAATAATGTTGTCATTTATCAAGTTGCCACAAGGTTGTCACTCATACTTGTCAACAAGTTTTTGAATTCCAGTTGTATAAAAATCTTAACTACTTTTTAACCACTATTTTGTAATTAAATAGTAGTTAACTCTAAAATACACGAGTTTGATTGATTAAGTTTCGCACTAACTGTGTTAACTTTAACTATCTTTTTATACAACCGGCCTCAGGACGTTTAGAAGTTATTGGAACAACTTGTAACAAGTCAACAACCTTGTAGCAAGTTGTAAGAAATCTAATGATTGTAGTTTAGAACTGAGGTAGATTACCAGACATACTACTACAGTGCGGTGTCCTGGAGCATGCGCAAAGCAAGTGTATCACAAACGCGAAAACGTACTAGTACTGTTTTTTAATAAATACCAAAGCTCATGATTTCGAGCAATGAAAAATAGATAATTACTGAACATCATGGTAGTGCATCTAAAGGTTTTTTGTATACTAGTTAATGACCTAATATTTAAAATGTCGTAATATTTATTTTCTCTTTTGTATAGTATAGAAACAAGCAACAATAATTTACAAATTTCCGATATTGAAGTCAGTAAGGTACTGTGGGAGTGTATTCTGCTGTTACAATTGCCGTTGATCAATTAATCAACCGTAGATCAACCATATGGTCAATTGGGTACAGACAAGCTTTATTTTGCTTGCGCTTGAGGCCATGCAAGTATATAGCCTATAATGACTACGAAATATTTTCTAGGAACATGCTAAAGTTTATTACGACGACAAAAGTAGTGAATATTTTGTTAAGGATCTTGGAAGTCAAAATGGAACATTCATTAATGGTTCTAGGATCAGTGAGGTACGTTAGCTTAGGTGATTAAAAAATGCGTGTCTAAAAAAGGTATCCAAAGTTTAAAATTATTTCTTGACAAGTCATGAAAAGAGTTTAAAGGGACAAAGGCTGTCTCTTTACCATGTAAATTATGTTTATTAAAAGTATAGTGTTCCATTGAAAACATGTTGTTATATTGTATAGCTATAGTGCTTAAACTAAACGTGATTGGCTGATCTCTGGTCACATGGATTTAGATAAATGTAATGGAGGCCGCCGAGCGACAAATGCCCGCTCCAACCGGCTACACGTTGATAAATTGCTCAAAATGGAGTAAAAAATTCAGATAGAAAGTTTTTCCAATTTTTGCTGAAACACTTATAGGATTTACATTTAAAGAGTTTTATTCATTAAATATAATAGTTTTGTGAATGTTGTATACTTTTTCTTCACCTTCACTTTTTATAACAACTAGTTTTAATTGCATAATAAGCAGCGTTTCGTATTAACTAAATGATTAATGCTCTGACACTGGACTCTGTAGCTCACTGGTGAGAGTGCTGCACTGGAATCGCAGAACCACAGGTTCGATTCTTATAAGGATCGGAGGACTTATAGGATTTTAGTTTTATTCATTAAATATAATAGTTTTGTGAATGTTGCATACTTTTTCTTCACCTTCACTCTTTATAACAACTAGTTTTAATTGCATAATAAGCAGCGTTTCGTATTAACTAAATGATTAATGCTCTGCCACTGGCCTCTGTAGCTCACTGGTGAGAGTGCTGCACTGGAATCGCAGAACCACAGGTTCGATTCTTGTTGGACTGGCCTAAACTTACGTTTTTCGCAACTGCTCCTGGTTAGGTTTAATATTGTATAATTATACATTTTCGTCTGAAAATTCCAGCTTCAAATATCCCATCTGCAATGTACAGTTATTTAATGTTTGTGCTTTATCGTTTTAGAGTAAACAAGAAAGTGAAGGACATAAACTAAGTCATGGAGAACAGCTAAAGATAGGTTCAACAACATTTCTGTTACATATACATCCTGGTAGTGAAACATGTGATGAATGTGAACCAGGTCAGGTCCAAGCACAGCTCAAGGCAAAAGAAATGGAAGATGAAGGTAGATGGTGCATATAGGTATAGGCATATAGGTTCACCCCCAGCAAGGGACGGATCTAGCCTCATTTGCAAGGAGGGGGCAGGTTTTCCATGGCGTGGTGTATGAGGAAGCCTTACTGCCCACTCTCCTCTACAGTCTGCAACGCTGCTAGTAGTAGCCTACTACCCCAGCATTATCATTATTTGAGCTGGCCGAATAATCAGCATGCTCGCTGTTCTGTTACGTTTTACATTATCTTTTGTTTATAAAGTTTATCTTGGCTTTTTATCACGTATGCGTGACTGGACAATTGCTGTACACACAGTACAGTAAATTTGCTTGTTCAATATTTCAAAATATGGCTGTATAACAACCTCTATATATTTAACAAAACATTCCGAGTGTTTTCTTGTGAGCTCACAAATCAATTCGTTTCAAGAAATAGAAGTTCCGCTAATCGCTATTGGAAAAGCAGAAAATGTATTGTCAAGCACATTTATTAGGGTGGGTGCTGGACTCTCTAGAGGGTGCTAGATACCACCAGGTGGGTTTCAACCCCCCCCCCCCTGCACCCCACCACCCCACGGTAGCTCTGTCCCTGCCCTCAGCTCTCCTACAGATCTGGTGTTAGTACAGTCGTTGTATTGCTAGGGGGAAAGGTTAGATATATAGAGACATATGACGATTGTGAATCTAGACAGGCCATGCATGATGAATATGAACCTGATTGAGTGCACTATGAAATATAAATATTGAGAATGTGAATGTCTGGATGATACTGTACATAGGTAGGTCACCAGACCTGCTTGTGTAGCAATGTTTATGTTATACCCTGTACTGTACTAAATATAGGAGTAAAGCAAATTAATATAATGCATTAATGTGATACTATATGTGTTTCTTATATTTGTACAGTGCTGATCACACGTGTTGTGAGCTCAGTAAATGATGGAAATCCAGAGAGTTTAAGGAAGAAAGAATTAAAAAGATTGAAAAAACGATACATGCTTGAGGTAAGACAGTGATACAGTTTATCGCAAGGTAAACATCCTATTTTTTGCGCATTTCGCTAGGTATAAAACAGAACGTTGAAAGGTTTCTGTAAATTGATATTTCGAGCGAAAACTATACACTTATTTTAGCCCTAGTCAGGAGCAGTTCTTGCTCGAAATTTCCATCTACGAAACCCTGTCACATTTGTACTTTAGTGTTGCATTTGCACAGCGACCAATATCGGTAGCGCAGTTGTACTTTAGGGTTGCATTTGCATTAGAGCTGTGCGGTTAACCGAAAAATTCGGTTCTTCTGGTACTTTTTTCAGCACCGAAAATTCATACGCAAAAGAACCGGTAATTTCGGTTTTAATTTCCCGTTTAACGCCCGCTAGACGCCCACCTGATTGTAGGTTGAAATGTTTGGAAAATAACAAGATTGTGCTCTTTGTGCGCAATATGCACTGTATACTAAGTGCTCAAATAGTTGATATTTTAGTTGTGATAGTTATTGTTGTGAACTTGATTTAATTTTTTTAAAAACTAAGAAATATTTCATCTTCATAAATAAATAACCAATTGTTCTTTTTAAAATATTTAGAGATTTATACAAACTTACCAAGGCATAAATTCATCTATTTAGTAAAAATGCTCGAAACATACATAAATGAGTTCATACATTTGTACTGTTCTTCTTTTTTGAAAATAACCGAAACCGAACCGAACCGAGGTTTTTTTGTTCCAAAAGAACCGAAACCGGAACCGAGATAAAATTTTTGGAACCGCACAACTCTAATTTGCATAGCGACCAATATTATCGGTAGCGCAGTTGTACTTTAGGATTGCATTTGCATAGCAACCAATATTATCGGTAGCGCAGTTGTTCATTAGGGTTGCATTTGCATAGCGACCAATATTATCGGTAGCGCAGTTGTACTTTAGGGTTGCATTTGCATAGCGACCAATATTATCGGTAGCGCAGTTGTACTTTAGGGTTGCATTTGCATAGCGACCAATATTATCGGTAGCGCAGTTGTACTTTAGGGTTGCATTTGCATAGCAACCAATATTATCGGTAGCGCAGTTGTACATTAGGGTTGCATTTGCATAGCGACCAATATCGGTAGCGCAGTTGTACATTAGGGTTGCATTTGCATAGCGACCAATATTATCGGTAGCGCAGTTGTACATTAGGGTTGCATTTGCATAGCGACCAATATCGGTAGCGCAGTTGTACATTAGGGTTGCATTTGCATAGCGACCAATATTATCGGTAGCGCAGTTGTACATTAGGGTTGCATTTGTATAGCGACCAATATTATCGGTAGCGCAGTTGTACATTAGGGTTGCATTTGCATAGCGACCAATATCGGTAGCGCAGTTGTACATTAGGGTTGCATTTGCATAGCGACCAATATTATCGGTAGCGCAGTCGTTCGAACAAGCACCTTTCACCTATATATGAGATGGTGGGTTCGATTCTGTCGTTGCCCACTCGTGTGAAGAGTCCGTCAACGTTCTGCCGAAAGTCGTGGGTTTTTTCTGGGTGCTCCGGTTTCTCACACAGGGAAAATTGACAGGATATGTTGGGATAAACACTGTTAAGAAAGTAAGATCACCATTTTTGTACAAGATAAAATAGTCCAGGCTAAGGATGTAATTACTCGTAAGCGTAATGCTTGATGTAACACAGATTTGATCCTATCTACATGTGAATTTGTACTATTTGTTCTTTAATCTTTATATCTGAAAAATACAGCTGTGTTAGCCTGCGTAGCAGGCGTTTAGTGCGGGCGGGAGAAGAGAGGGCGTCGTTATGATAGTGTGAGATTGAACGCTTCAATATTTCGAAACACCAAGAATATAAATTTCACAACACGTTCAATCCGTTAGCCACACGGTCATCATCAGTGCTGTTCAGTATGAAAGCACTGTAAGTATACATCATGCATGAAGAATTTCTATTTCCATTACAGAATAGCGAGCACGAAGTGAACTCTGAAGTTGCATCTATCAATGCTGGAAAATACAAAGACAGAGCTCAAACCAGGTGAGTCAAATTTCGTTCGCGGGAGACTGATGATTTTTCAGTGCCGGCGAATATTCACCTCCACTTCGGTGAAAAATTGTTCATTAGTGTATTGTTCGCGCGTTGTGATTGGCTAGTTAGTAGTTAACCTGCCGGTATGTTCCACTTACGTCAGCATTTTTCACGGAGCTCTTACCGTGTCAGTAAGTTTCCAGGCCAATCGTGAGACCGGGCGCGCGCCCCGGCTGACCGGAAACAGGTTGGAAACGTTTCACATTTGTTCTAAAAGGTTTTAAGTTGTTATTTGAATTTTGTTCTAGAAGGTTTCGGATTGTTATTTCAAATTTTTTCTAAATATAGAAGGTTTAACAATGTTATTTTAAAATGTGCTGGAAGGATTCCAAGTGCTATTGTAATTTGTTTTGGATGGTTTGAGATTATCATTTCGTATTAGTTCTAAAGTTTTATATGTTCCCCTCAGTCAATATTTTATTAGGGTTTATATATCATGCAAGACTATAGTATAAGTGAAGGCAAACAAGGATAGTTTTTCGCAGTCATTCATGATTCATCCATATTTCGTAATTAGTGTTATACTGTTCCTACATTTTTACATACAACAGTTTGTAAACAAAGAGGGGATTAACTCTAATTGCTATCACAGTGTCAACCCCAGAGGGCAAAATCGTATGCTTTGGTCTTTTGACTTTAGAAATAGCATTCTCCTCTGTTACGTCATTAAAATAAAACCGTTATCAATGGCAGTATTCTCCTTTAATCTTTTTCTAAGGAAGGTATGTAATTTAGTCGATGGAGGTTTGACGAATGCGAAGAATTATGAGACCATGCCGCTACCCACTTCATACGACCTGTAGATTGGTGCCTGATTTTGACAGGCCAAAAGTTCCATCAAATTTTTTCAACTCTTTACATAATACTGTGATTATATTTGTCCGAACCCAGCTCAACTTAGGAGAGCATGCGCACGAGCTTAGGAGAGCATGCGCATGACGACTTGGAGCACCCACTCATACGCTCATCCTGCATGAGCGTATGAGCACATGCTCATAAATGCTCATGAGCACATGCTCATCTGCTCGTCCTGCATGAGCGTATGAGCACATTCTCATAACTGCTCATGAGCATCTGCTCATGAGGCCCGTTTAGGTCCCGAAGACTGGGAGTGCATTCTTCTTTCGTAGAACGGTGGAAGCCCAGACACCACTGCAAACATTTGATTAGTTTATGTACACAAAATAATGTATACATTTTCGCGTATTTTTACCCTTTTGATTTGTACCCGGCCGACCCATGTAAAAATGGCAATAAAAGACAGGTAATTGAAAAGCAATTTATTTTATGACTCGAAGTTACATGCTGTGTCGATACTGGAATGTTTTACATGCTAATACTGTTCGAAACGTCGAATACCTGTACATGACTTCAATCCTATATATTCGACCTATTAATCGAATCTAATCATCATCATTATCATCGTCGTCGTCGTCATCATCATCATCATCATCATCATCATCATCATCATCATCAAAATCGTAACCCTTTAAAAGCCGTCTTATAAGAAACTTTATAAAGCTCTTCTTATAAAGCTCTCCATGGATTTTACGACTTAAATGTGGAAGACTTTGTCTCCTTTGTCACTCATGGGCGAACACGTCTCAGTAGTAATTCCACCCTTGTTTTAAAAATACCATATTGTAAAACAACTACATTTCAGGCCTAATTTTTTAATCGAATTGTAAAGATATGGAACTCTATATGCAAAGTTGCCACATGTAGCAGCTTTACTAGTGTCACCACTTTTAAAACGTTCTTAATCAATCATTATAATGAACTTTTATTGAATGTTTTTGATGCAAATTTGACATGTACTTGGTCAGTTGTTAGAGACTGTGCTTGTCACAGGAGTTAAAGCACGTTTACGCATTACGACCGGTCGGGGTACCTCTTTTATGATTGATGCCACCAAATGTCGTTTTATCTGGCTTACAAAGAATTTATTTTAACATAGGTCCTATCACTTTGGCCTAAATGTGTGTAAACGTGCTTTCAACGATTTAAAATTTTTAATTTTATGTAAATTTGTAAATGTCGACAGAAGTCAAATCGGGAGGTAGCCTCGCATGGGCTATTATGGCCCGTTCGCTATTTTCCCGTTTAGGAACTGCATGTTTGTTGTATTTGTACCTTATTAATGTAATATATTTAGTTCCTAATAAAGCTGTTAAAAAAAAAACAAAAAAACTTTCTCATATCAACAGCTGCTTCTAACGCTGCTTCTGGATCAAAATCATCGTTTTCCACAAGCGCATCTTTTGTGTGCATTATTTTCTTATGTATTGGATCTTTCCTTAGTTGTTTCATCCGCACGAGCCGCTCCATATAAATATTTTCCAGTTCCTTTTGGAGTTTAGGCAGAATATTAGAGTAAGCTTTGTCCTTAGCGGATTGCTCATCTAGACCACTGTTTAAGGCTTTCTTTCATTTCCTCAAAAGCTATATTGCTTCTTTGCTTTGCTTCTATCAACGGTATCCAAGGGTCCATTTCTTACTCATTTTCTGATTCATCAGTCGTCATCGAAATTTCAGACACATGAGTTGAAGTTGTCGAGACATCGTCTTGGAAATCCGTTTCCTGGCTATCCGAGTCGGTTTGAGACATGTTTCTTTCTTGTGCACGTAGGGGACAATACTCCTTTTCGTGTCTCCGTAGATTGTAATAACGGTTAAATTGCTTTCCGTAAAATTGGCAACTTATTCCGTTAGCACTGACTGTGCAGAAATGCTTTGTTATTGAGCAACACTGCAGTTTTATGAGCAGATGAGCATGTGCTCATAATCAGTTATGAGCATGTCCTCATCTGCTCATCGTATAAAATGGTACCCGTCATGATTTTATATGTGTACGATATCTATACGCAGTACTTCGGGTTTAAAATGGGCCTTATGAGCAGATGAGTATGTGCTCATGAGCAGACATGAGCGTGTGCTCATACGCTCATGCAGGATGAGCTTACGAGTGAGTGCTCAACAAGATGAGAATTTCAGCCGGGTTCGGACAAATTTAATCACAGTACAGTGTATGCAAAGCGTTGAAAAAATTTGATGGAACTTTGTACAAAAGTTCACAAAATTTGACGAGACTTGGAGGTTCTCTCAGTGTTTTGTTCTGTCAAAATAAGGCACCAATCTGCAGGTCGTATGAAGTGGGTAGTGGCATGGTCTCATAATTAATGTGCTTCTCTTCCATGTTTTGTCTAAAAATCGGTACGATTTCGTATTCGTCAAACCTCGTATTCGTCAAACCTCCTCACCATGTCCTCTCAAAAAATGTAAGAATTACACAAATCCAAAGTTCGCACACAAAATATCGTGGCTAAAACTGATATGTATTCCGACCATCATAAGTCAATGGTTTTAATACTCTCGGACAAGAGATCAAGATAAACCGGTTTTGTCTGAGCAGGTCTTGCATTAATTTCCCGCATTTTTGTAAGACACGTTGCAAGGTCGCTCTAAATATTCTATTTTGATTCATTTTATATCAGAAGGATACCACGATATAGACCCAGACCAATGGCCTTTAAATAGTAAAATATTTGTTTCGTGTTCTAAGATAAAAATATATACACCCTGTAACAACAAAAAAGTTCAACTAGTATTGTACCATGATTAAATATAGATTTTGTAATATCATAACACAATGTCAATACGTGTTTTGTTGTGTGAATGCCCGCCCATCACCAAATCATCTAATGATCGATATCAAACGGCCTGCAAACTCTTATCAATGATGTATAGAGGGACACTATAAAAGGTATAAAACGTTCCAAATAGGACAACTTGAGCATAAATTTTATTACTCTATAAATGATGTCAATGAAAACAGTCGTTAGGATTGATAACCGTTTTAAAAGTACGGTTGATCAGTTGCATGATTAGACCAGTACTGTTCTATAGAAAGTTTCAAACACAGTAAGTGTTTCAATGCATAATTCAAAGCAAATAGAATCCGGAGGGTTTAAACTGCAGGTTGCAGGTGTGCAGGTCAATGGGTGCAGGTGTGCAGGTTGCAGGTGTGATATTCTAGTACAAGATCAAAACTTGACATTCATGAAAAAGTGTGAAGCACGCGTAAAATTTTATCTTAGCTAAGTTTGAATTCTCTTTTATAATTGATTTTGTCACTCTTTGCGAGAAACGTCCGCCATATTTAATTCTTATCTCAAAAACACCTGATATCCCGTATTATCAATAGTTTTCCCCATACCGCCAAAACATGTGATCACAGAGTAGGTACTATATATGTACCTACTATGTACCTACTATATGTACCTACTATGTACCTACTGTATATCAGTGGTACCTACTCTGTGATCACATGTTTTGGCGGTATGGGGAAAACTATTGATAATATGGGATATCAGGTGTTTTTGAGCTAAGAATTAAATATGGCGGACGTTTCTCGCAAAGAGTGACAAAATCAATTATAAAAGAGAATTCAAACTTAGCTAAGATAAAATTTTATGCGTGCTTCACACTTTTTCATGAATGTCAAGTTTTGATCTTGTACTAGAATATCACACCTGCAACCTGCAACCTGCACCCATTGACCTGCACACCTGCAACCTGCAGTTTAAACCCTCCGATAGAATCCTAACTTTAACTAAATGAGTTAAGGGAAATACTGACATTGGGAACAGTTTGAATTTCAATGGTCCAAACGTACTGGCAAGTACATGCACGATTGTACAATCTCGACGTTGACAATGTGTCAGTAATTAATCCGCTCTTGGTGTACAAACTGATGTATGAAAAATATTGCCGCGGGTACCGTATACACAAAACACGGACGATTGATTTCGCCAAAAATAGCCTATTGCCCTATTCGTTTTGACTCTCACAAAAAGTTAAACCATTAAAGATGTATACATTACATACTGGCTGATACAAATGACGAAACTGCTTAATATCTGGTCAGGTAATATATAGTAGCTGAATTTTAGACGTCTAACGGTCTATATAACACGAGAAATAAAGTGATCTGGTATTTTCAAGCATCCATGTATTTTTCTGTTTATTATATAAAGGACATGCAGTCTTTGAAAAGAGATAATTTTTACAGAAAAGCGATAATTGAAAAGCGATAATTTTCACATGTAAAATTATCATAAATAATCTCACATGTGAGATTATCAGTTTTATCAGTGCTTTAAATAGTACATAAAGCACTATATATACTTTATATAATAATGACACATCAATGCATATACATGGTCTCGGATTATAAACACTGTAAATGGCAAAACAAAGCAACATTCAAGTTGCATATTCATTATAACATATAGGAACAGAACATACGAAAATACAAACTGTACATGCAGGAAAGGATGAAATTTGGACACACGGTATACAGTCGAAGCCCACTAACTCGAACTCTCAAGGGAAACAAAGAATTGTTCGAGTTAACGGGGTTCGAGTTCATAGTTTATAGATGCACATTTTGAAATAAATTACATACTTTCTTTAGATAAAGATTAAAGGAGAATACTGCTATAACGGTTTTATTTTAATGACGTAACAGAGGAGAATGCTATTTCTAAAGTTAAAAGACCAAAGCATACGATTTTGCCCTCTGGGGTTGACACTGTGATAGCAATTGGAGTTAATCCCCTCTTTGTTTACAAACTGTTGTATGTAAAAATGTAGGAACAGTATAACACTAATTACGAAATATGGATGAATCATGAATGACTGCGAAAAACGATGATTGTTTGCCTTCACTTATACTATAGTCTTGTATGATAATGTAAACCCTAATAAAATATTGACTGAGGGGAACATATAAAACTTTAGAACTAATACGAAATGATAATCTCAAACCATCCAAAACAAATTACAATAGCACTTGGAATCCTTCCAGCACATATTAAAATAACATTGTTAAACCTTCTATATTTAGAACAAATTTGAAATAACAACCCGAAACCTTCTAGAACAAAATTCAAATAACAACTTAGAACCTTCTAGAACAAATGTGATACGTTTCCAACCTGTTTCCGGTCAGCTGGGGCGCGCGCCCGGTCTCACGATTGGCCTGGAAACACGGGTAAGAGCTCCGTGAAAAATGCTGACGTAAGTGGAACATACCTGCAGGTTAACTACTTTAGTTGACTAGTAAATCTGACGCATAATTTACCACCTGACTAGTAAATAATGCTTTTCAAAAAGAACGATTCGGCAAGTTATAGGTTTCAAAATCGATGAAATATTGAAAAAATTGTCCCCAGAAAACGAAAAAAGCACAAAATGTTATATTTGGCTTGAAAGGTATTCCTTTATTATTTTACTGTGTCAAACATATTCACGGACAATTTAAAACTTATTTAATTAAAACTCCAAAACATTCACTTCAAATAAATAGCAAAAATTATCCCGACTGCTGGGCAAAACTTTGCCGTGATATTCTTAAAACCATTTTGTTTTGTATCCTATAGGTATCTCAATTTGTACGATACTATTTCTTTTGATATTTTCATTGTGCTGTATGGTATCCTGCTGCTGTATTGTGTTTTCGAAACTTGTAAAGTGAAAAGTGTATTAAAACTTTATTTCGAGGCATTCGAGCAATAGTTTTACATTCCACTTTACCAATTTTCTCAGTCATTTCCTGAACACATTAAGGTTACAGAACACCTTTGAGTGTTAATTTTGCCTAAAATTTTTTTATTCGTTTCAATGAAAGCATTAGACTAGTTCTACTATCTGACCAAGTTTGAACGAAAAATGTTGAAAACTCGCAGAGTTAATTAATAAAATACATTTCGCTGCAATAAGAAAAACATTGAAAATGTAATATTCAAATTCAATTTTCTCCCGAAAAATTTTACGGTAATTACTGATTTTCAAACGAGTTGTGCTCCTGCGGGTTTTAACCAATTTTTCTCAAATTTTCACAGGACATAGCTAAATACGTCAGTTTCAAAATGGTGTTTGGCTTTTTTTAAATTTTGGATATTTTAAAAATAAAGAGCAATTCACTCAAACAATTCAGAAATATATTGCAGTCGTGAAAGAAATCGCCATATCAGCGGAATGACGAAATAAACAAAAATTTCCGAACACTATTTTTTAGAACAACTATTTTACTGTTTAAAAATGATATTTTCATAAATATAACTTAAAACCAGCAGGAGCACAACTCAAAAGCGTAACGGTACCGCGATTTGAGATTTTCCTGAATAATTCTTACATCAGTTATTGTTTACTAATTTTACAACTTTACCATATTTTGCATGCACTGGAGAACATTTGGTGAAAATTTGATGAAAATCGGACTGATATTGAGCGCGCAGTAGCGATATTCCGCAAAACGCCAAAAATGGTGTCCTGTAACCTTAATGCTAAACAGAAACTATTTTTTAATTCTAAGTCTGGTGAAAAAGTCATTCCATCATTGTGCGTATATTCTAGGCAGAAATCGAGAAAAACAACTTTGTAATAAAGCAATAAAGTCACACAGGAAGCCGTTTTGAAAGCGTGTGTGTACAAGAAACACTATAAACACTAAAACAGTATAACCGTATTAAAAAACGGCCGAAAACAGTTTTATTTCTGAATTTTAATTAAACTGATATTTTGATATTTTGTTTTATTCATTAAAAATTTATACTAAAACAATTATTCGCCTCAGGCTCAGTGATTACGGTGAATATTCGCCTCGACTTCGTCTCGGTGAATATTCACCGGTAATCACTTCGCCTTCGGCGAATAATTGTTAAATATTTGAGCCGGTCCAGCTTTGATGCATGAGAAAACTTTGCGTTGTAGCTCCGAGTGGCAAATAAATGCGCTGTGAAAAAAACAACTTTAAATGTTTCTATAATGTTATGGGAGTTATGTTGATGTATTATTGTTAATTTTGTGTTTGTTATGATTTGATGTAGGCGAGTAAAAGTTGGCAGTGAAGCTCCGAACAGTGACGTCGCTGCATCGCCCGCTTCAGTGTTCAAGTAAGGACAGTGTTACTGTATACTATTTTTAAATCTGGGTACCCACTAAACCTCATTGTCTAGGTACTGTATATACTCTAAAGAAGTCAAGGCTAAGATTCTTGGTTAAACTTCCTGGTTAATATACAGTGTAGATATAACCCTATTTGGGTTTCCTGGTTAATTTTCCTGGTTATTGTAACCTCTTGGTTATCGATGACATTCAAAAGCACGAAGTCGGCAGAACATTAACGATGATGGTCGGTCGGGAAACCGGGACCACAGGATATTTCTTGTTTCTGGTGTTGTGCACTCATGTGAAGATATATGTTTGCGATGTTGTTTTGAGTCTGTCCTCCAGTGACGGACACTTGATGAAATATTGGTCGGGGGGGGGGGGGCTGGCCTCTCTACGGCCCCTAATGTCCGCCACTGCTGTCCACACTGGGGAAGCTGAAAAGTTTGCTTGACCGCGGTGGGAATCGAACCCGCGACCTTTGGTTTGCTCGTTCAATGCTCTACATGGTCAAGTCGGTTCGAGTGCATGATATTTTGGAACTCAGACTAGCTCCTTGTTTCTGCTGTTGTATCTAAACTTATATCCAATGCATAAATTGGCGTAGGACAGTTCTCCGATTCTGTATTTATATTGAATGCAGTAAATATTTTGTTCTGTAGACCAATCAAGAGTGAGAATAAGGGACGAATGATGCTTGAGAAAATGGGTTGGGTAGATGGACAAGGACTGGGGAAGAGTAAAACTGGAAGAACTGAACCTGTAAGTTTATCTTTAACCTTTTCCCGTCCCAGGACCTTTCCACTAACAATCGAACTTTTCCTAACGAAGACCCCCGTAGTGCGGATATTTATCGATTGTTCCCTGCCAGTGTAGGTAGTGACCATAGCAGAACAGCTGCGAATCGAGAGAGATACAACTACCTAAAAAATATAAGCAGAACGTTAGAGCGAAGGCCCTTTGTCTGAAAGTTAACATCTTGCTCGGTCCTTTGTTGTTGTGCTCTCCCCTGCGCAGATCCAAAAGATTTTAAAAGCAAGCGAGAGAAGAAGCGATAGAAGGTACGCGGTGTGAAGTTAACCGCTGAATTTCAGAGCGCGGGCGAGAAAGCGAAGAGGAAGGAAATCTTCTCTTCCTTCACCGGCGCCACTTTAAAAGCCCTCTGCGATAAAGACCATTCTTGAGTGAGTTATACTTGACCATTCTTGACGGATACCGTGTACTGATTTTACTCGAGAGAAACACATTAAAGGCTGATTTCCACTGTTGCGTTTTTCGTACGCACGTACACGCACGTAAAACTTTGAATCCTTCTATTTTTTAAATATTTTACAAATAAGTACTAAAACTTGCGGAACACTAAATTCTGTTGCTTTATTTATTTGGTTATTTCATAAGTAACATTTAAATGGATTTAAAGTTTTACGTGCGTATACGTACGTATGAAAAACGCAACAGTGAAAATCAGCCTTAAAAGGCAAAAAAGTCGACGTAGTTTACTGCTGTGTATACGAGTACAGGCGATTTCGCGCGCAATCTTTCCTCCCTTCCCTTATTTCTAGGAGGGTTAAGAATGTATTACTAATTATAAATATTTTGAAGGTGCTGGCAACTATACGTGAAACAGGACGAGGTCTGGGTTATGGTGCTGTAAAATCTATAGACATGCCTCATAAAAATTCAAAATCTTTCAAGTGGAAAAAAACACAAGACAGATACAATGCAATAGGGAGAGGTCAAACTGCAACGTCATCTCAAGGTTCTGTCAGTATAAACTGGGTAAAGAAAACCTCAAAACCTGAAACTCTTGACATATTTGCTGATGACACGTGACATACTTGCTGATGACGCGTGACATAATTGTAATTAACACGTGACATATTTTCTAATGACACGTGACATATTTTCTGATGACACGTGAGGTTCATATTTTATTGCAGTTAAACCAGTGAGCTCCATATATAACTGGAGCGAGAACTTGATTCCAAAAAGTGAAGCCAAAGATGAAGCTATTGTACGTCAGTTTCAGTCCCTTTCTATTCCGCCATCTTGGCTTCACTTTTCTCATAGGCCGAATGACTGAATATATACAGCCAGGTGATCTCGGAACTCGAAAAAGGCCTGGCACTAGTTGTAAAATAGAAGTCCATTTCTGGTTTAAAATTACTCTATATCTCATTAACAGCATTAGATTTCTGTCTCAAATTTGTCCCAGATATTCATTTCCCTGTGGAAGACACAGACACAAAGTTTCAAAGAGTTTCACCAAAGAATCAGGGCGTGACAAGTGATTAAAGGTACGAAACTGGATTTCTATTCTGTTGCTAGTCCCAGTCCTGTTGCTCACCGTTAGATCATCTGGAGGGTGTCTAAAAAAACGCTATGAACGCAACGCGAGTCTGCTGCAAGCTATTTGTTTCGTAAACTTTGATTACGAATGTTCTCTGTTCAGTAGTTAATTGAACCAAGTTTAATGGACGTTCTTATTGTCTCACTAAGACGAAGATTGACGAGTTGCGCTCATTTTAGATAATTTAACATTCAATTTTAATTCCCTCTTGGGATTTGTCTATGTTTCGTTTCCCATGCAATTCCCAACGCTGGAAGAATGTGATTTCGACCGGCAATTTTTATTTGACGAGTATGTGGCCATTTGCCATCGTTACGATTCAAAAAGAGTATCATTGGAAAGCTAAATAACTGTTCTTTCGTCCCATGTACAAATAAAAATTGAATTGTTTAGCCACGTTTATGATGCACGACAGCCTGTTGAATTTCCATAGCGTTTTTTTGAGACACCCTGTATATAGTAAAGATCACTGAGTTAAACTTGTTGTGTTCAACCAGGCCGTTAAGATGGTCGTGGTATAAGGGACGTTTACTACTACTTCGCGAACTAAGTGGTATGCCTGATGAAAATCCTCCTGTTTGTGAAAATAGAAACAGTATTGACAGAGCTCGATGTTTGGTCGTACACAAGTTTGTTACGTACAAATCATAGAGGTGCATGCGAAATCAAACGTTACACAGGAATGTGGAATTCCATGTCCAGTATTATTCCGTCTCCGTATATGTCGACTTTCCTTAAAGGCCCAGCTTTTCTATTGTTTATGTTTAATGTTTAATAGAAAAATTACACATTAAATTAATAGCTACACTAAGTAGCTAAATTAGAATGTGCATTACATACATAGCAGAAATACATTAATTAATTACTATACTATCTAAATTAGGTATTGAAAAAGTTTCAATAGAAATATATAGTAATATTATCAAAGAGAGTTATTATAAAGTTCTACTGACGAAACAATTGGACTGTTCCGAAAACTATCTAAATTACGTATTAAAGTTTTTTAATACGTAATTTAGACAGTTTTCGGAACAGTCCAATTGTTTCGTCAGTAGAACTTTATAATAACTCTCTTTTATAATATAACTATATATTTCTATTTTGAAACCAATTTTGAAGTTGAAAATTTTCAACTTTTAACAATGATATTTTCTGAAAATTTTCTGTCCGTGGAAATTTTTCTTGAGTGGAAATGGGCCTTAACATAGATAATGAGTTATGTTGTTATTCTACTGAGTCAGTTACTTCGACCAAGTTCTCAAAACCATACTCTTCAATCACCCCACGCCATTCAATAACACCGCGCCTTCTACACTTCCGTCCACACTACTTCCTCTTTAAACACTACACTGTCAGCCTGAATACTCTCGGGTCCAGCGGTTCCATAGACCATCTTTCGTTGTACAAAGGAACCTGAGACGTTTCTTCAGGTCACGCTCTTCTAATTGATGAGGTTGTAACTCTGGTACAGCTGTGGGTTGTTGAAACAGAAACGAGTTTGGTGTCAAGACAGGCAGCTGAGGATCATCCTCCAAGTACGTTAGGGGACGGTTGTTCATGCACACTTCTACGTCGAGCACGATTTCTTCTAATTCAGAAAAGGATAAGAGTCCACCCCCAACTGTCTTACGAAATATAGATTTGAAGATACCGATGAGGCGCTCGTATTGATCACCCCACCATGGTGCTTTCGCAAGGTTGAATCGCCAAACAGGCTTGTAAAGAGCTTCGTGGAATTTCTCTTCTTTCCAAACTTTCCTTAGCCATGTCACTGCCGCTTTAAAGGTGCCCCCGTTGTCTGAATACACGAGTGTAGGTCTTCCTCGCCGGGCAATAAAGCTTTTAAAACTTTGTTGAAACTCTTCAGTTTTAAGGCTTTTTAACAGTTCCAGGTGCACTCCTCGTGTGAGGCTGCATGCGAAAACCACTAAGTAAGCTTTTCTTTCAACTTTCTTGCTTGCGCGGTAACGAATAGGAGCCGCAAAGTCCACACCGATCACGGAATATGGTGTGTTCCCCGTTATCCTGCTGCTTGGAAGTGGACCAGATGCAGGGTCTCCCCAGCCTAGACCTAGGCCTTCTATTTTTATTTATATTTTTTTTAATATTCAGCGCTTTTTCACATGAAAAGACTGGGACTAGGTAATTTGGGGGCGGG